ATTGCTTTGTGCTGCTCTCTTAAATTCTATGGTATATGGTAAATAAGTTAGATCTACTATTAATTTTAAATCAACTTTGTTTATACAATATTTAATTTAATCAAAAACTCATAGACATTTAAAATAACTAACTCTCTCTAAGATGAACTGGAATTGTTTGTAGTATACCTACATATATAAACGTAAAAGTCGATTAGACAAGGGTTCTAGTTTTTCACCATCAATATATTGAAATATATACATATATGTTATATGATAATTCATTGACATGACAACCATTGGCAACTCAATGGATGGTCAAACAACAGAACCTCGGAAATTATCAGAACACTAGGTAAGTAGATATAATAGTGCAACAAAAATACCGCTCGTATAACAGCTCGTAATAGTTACATACCGAACTTGTGCAGAAAGTAAGTAGTACTACTTTTGAGCGTGCGGAAAAGTGCAACTTTTCGCTCGCTTGTAGAATAGTATATTCTGTAACAAGTTTGGAATACGTCATATTCTGCTCGAGTGAAAAGTTTGTCACACGAGCCGAAGGCGAGTTTGACGGTTTTACAAGAGACGCGTTTCTGACTATACATGTTTAACGTTTCCAAAAAATACCATAGAAACATAATTTAATTGGGAGAAAGTGAGGCTGGATCGGTCTTAAAGTTGTAAGATAATGAACACAGAGATGTCGCCACCAGTGTTAGAATGTTGGATTTAGCCACTTGTACTATCGCTGCAGCGATACTTTTCGTCAGAATTAACACAGTCGTATTCATATTTAAAAATAAACTTACCATTCGACTGATTTAAAATGCAAAAAAAAGTTTTTCGTAATGCCAAAACTAAATTTTATTTCGGACTAAATACACTGACTAATAGACTAGCAAGCAAATGAGATTACACTTCCTTCAATCTTTTAATGTTTAAAAATTGATAATTATCATCAGTCTACAAATTCTCAAAATAAGGGTTCCGGAAATCCAAATTTTATTTTGCAAAACAAGTAGGTACAAAAATGTGTTTGTTTGTTTCCCGATTGTACCGGAACCGGAACCGGAACTCTGTTACAGCGCCTTCCGCCTCACATAAATGTGTATGAAACAGAAAATATACCACTTTTAGATTAATATCTGTCTTGATCTTCTTTTTAAATTGTGACTGAGGCTGCAATATCAGTTCCTGGTTTAAATAACTGATATTAATTTATTAAGATAAAAATTGATTCGAGAACAGTAATGCCAAAGTTTAATAGCAAATAAGATGTTAAGCAGTAGAAAGTAATAGGTAATATTTTTATACCTGTACTCTTGTACTTCTTATAGAAGTCAGAATAGAATAAAATACTACTGTTTTTATTTGCATCCCATAAAAAATCACGACTTTTATTTTTTTTCCCGCCCCAATATACTGTACTATTACTATATATCCATGATCGTGGGCAAAACACCTATCAAAATCAAAAAGTTGTTAATAAAAGATACATGTATATAATATTACAAATATGTATATGCATACATATATTTGTAATATCAAACCTAAGTCTCAGGTAAAAATGTAAAAATTTGTTTGTTCTTTTATTTATTTATATTTTTTTAATTTCGAGCCACGAATATACACGATATTACGTAAAGCCAACTTTTTATTGCTATTTTAAATCCAATTAATAGTTTTTTCATATTTGGCTCACCCGAGTGGTTAATCATTGCAAACAACGGTGTTTATGAATCAGAGCATATTTTTATGAATCCGCATTGTTTTTCCTTTGTTCCCAGTAATAACAGTGGTCACATATCAACAGGTACCTACATAAATAAAGATAAAGCAAATCTGCATGTAAATTTATCACGTACATTAAATATTAACCAAAATAGAAGTTCAAATATTTAAAAAACCTAGTGTTTTTTTAATATAAATTGTATTATGTCCGAAAGGTCAATTCGATTGTTACTTGAGAGCACTGCAAATAAATTCGTTTTTTTACTTTACTACTTGTACCAATTTTAAGAGGCATGAATCAACAAGTCGGAGACAAATTTTTAAATCCTTTGACAAGAAAATTGATAATCATACCAAACTTTTCCTTAATGGATAAACTTTTATCATTAATTACTAAATAGTCTTGATATAACTTGAAAGACATTAGTAAAGAGTTTGCTTTTCATTAAGACGTGACAGAAATTTGACTCAAAAGTTTAAAAGTTGTTTTAACATCTTTAACAATTCATTGACAAATTTTTATTTAATTTTTATAAAATTTAATTGATTATTGGGTATTAAAACACAACATTTCTTGAAACAAATGAGTTTTGATTCCCCTCTGACCTATTCTGATTGTTCGGGTCGTTACTTATATCACCTAATTTCGTAAAGTAATTATAAGTTCTGCCAACTGTGATTTAGGGTAACTTATCAAGCTGACCATGATTTATAAGTCGGTTACTTAACAACTTTAAATTGCCATAAAAAATCTGCATTTTTAATGTCGACATTACTACAAAAGTTATTTAAAATATATTCAGCATTTTTAACAATGTTTAGGTTGGACCAACTAGCACCAGTTTTTTCTAAGCTAAATTTGTTTTACAAAAATAATACCTATTTTATGGAATTGTTAATTACCATAATAAAATTACCCATAACGAACTAAAAAAATAGTTGGATGAAAAAAAGTAGAAATTGCTCTAAATAAAAAATATTTATTACAATAACAAATATTACTAAAACTTAAACATTTATACATTATTATTATAAAAAAGTAAATTTAAAGAACTAAAACACTCTTACAGGTGGTTATTGTGCCGCGACCATTTCACCTAAAGATTCCGGAAAAATGGGGACAAAATTATTGTTGGCAAACTATAAAAACCTAACATTATCTAAGGTAAAGTTTAATAATAAAATAATTTTCACTTATACCATATGGTTACTAGACTGGGCCAAAAAAATCAACTATATTTTTTTTGAAAAGTATATCGAAAATATGGTTTGGGGTGACAAAAAAAATTATTGTGAAAGTTTGAGTCCATAATATTAATATTAAGAGGTCTATCATCGCAATTTTAATTTTTTTTCCTCAGCAAGTTTTTCTCTTAGAACTCCCAAACCATTGAATTTAACAAAATTGACTTGAAAATATTTTTTTAAAGAAAATTAAATGCTCTACAAAAAAGGTTAAAGTGAAATTTTCCGTCAGATGAACCGTTTCCTTAAAATCATGCCTTAAAAATTGGTATAGTTTTACATTTTGATCTTTTAAATTGGAATTTTGTAATTCATGTAAAAATCAGTACCAATAAAAAACCGATAAATATTCTTATGGATAATCAAATGCTTTACAAAAAAAGCCTCTCAACATTTTTGGCTAAATTCACTCAATCAAAAGTTATTCAAGGTTAAAATTTCGTTTTGACTTCAAATTTAACCTTGAATAACTTTTGATGGAGTGAATTTAGCCAAAAATAATAAAAAAAAAATTTTGTAGAGCTTTTGATTTCCCATAAGAATATTTATCGGTTTTTTGTCAGGGTACTGATTTTTACATGAATTACAAAATTCCAAAGTTAAAAGATCAAAATGTAAAACTATACCAATTTTTAAGGCATGATTGTAAGAAAACGGTTCATCTGATGGGAAATTCTAATCAAACCTTTTTTGTAGAGCATTCAATTTTCTTCAAAAAATATTTTTAAGTCAATTTTGTTAAACTCAATAATTTGGTTCTGAGACAAAAACTAGCTTAGGAAAAAAAAATCTAAAATTGCGATGATAGACCTCTTAATATTAATATTATGGACTCAAACTTTCACCATAATTTTTTTTTCTCCCCAAACAATATTTTTGATATACTTTACAAAAAAAAGTAGTCGATTTTTTTTGGCCCAGTCTAATGGTTACCCATGGGATACCATGGTATCCCCAACATTTAACAGCCAATTCTTGTGTAAAATTGTTCCCTGAATCCGGAAATATCTTAAAAATTATGAAAGTAGAGCAGTTTTTGAGATATAGTCAATTGAAAATTGACTACATCCCAAAAACTGATCTACTTTTCTAACTTTTGACGACAATAATATTATGGTGGCAGTTTTCCCTCATTCTAATTATTGTACGCTTATTTTTATGAATACAACAGTACATTTTACTGATATATTTGTTTGTATTTAGTATTTTTAATTAATAATTATTATAATAGTAATTTATGTTATTAAACCAAAAGGCTGAGCTTAAACTTTAAGTTTGAAGCACAAAGCAAAAAATACCTTCTTGGCCTAATATCCAATAAAAAAAATTGCATCTCCCAACCCGATTGAGTACAAAAGGACAACATTTAATCTTTAAGTCATACTTTTATTTTTTTAACGATACATAAAACTTCCAATTAAAATATTAATTGAGGACCGTAGAAGTGAAGGGATACAAGTGACATTAAAAAAATGTAGTTATGTATCCAAGGGATATAACTCAATTCTAAGCTTAGACATCTTGAAAAATGAAGTCATAAAACAACAAACAATTTTGACTCCAAATTAAAAGTGTTTTTTTACTTTTTAAACATAATTCTCAAAACTAAACAAAATGTACTTATACCCCTTGGCTTCTAGGGTCCTCAATTATAATTAATGAAAGTAGAAAGTGAGGTTAGGTAGATCTGATAATAGTCGAATATTTTGTTTGGTCCAAACGGGTTTTTTAAGAATATTCTTTTATTTAAAAGGTAAAAAACTCTATTGGTCTAAATAATTTGTACAGCCTAGGCGATAATTATATGATTATAATTAATCACTTTAGTATTAAGTATGTTAAGACAACAATGTATTTAAAAATTTGTAGCTAAACAGGAAAAATACAAACGTACTAAAAACTTATTTAAAATAAAGTAAAATAGTTTAATATAACAAGGTTACTTCCTCAAATAATATATATATATATATATATATATATATATATATATAACCTTGTGTGTTAAAGTGCAGCTTGGGTGAGTTGCTAAATTAGATTGTTACCTGCATGGCGGACACCCGCTCTCTCACAGCTTGAATAAAATCGTCATGGCCGGCTATTAAGCTGGTCACCACTGAAAACTGATGCCATTTGTAACGCTCCAGGATGCTCAGCATCGCAGCTGTTTGGTGCTCCAACGACGGTGCCAGCTGCAGCTGCAAGGACGATTGGGAGGCGCGCCTCTCCAACCCCGAATTGTCAGCGTTCCAGGCTATCACCGGAATCCCTGAAAAAAACACTTTTTAAGTCGTATGTTCTATCTACTTAGACATATTTAAAATTGTTTATTGTTTTAGTCTATAAAATTTTACAATTATTACTGTATCTTTGTTGTGTTGTTATAAGTTTTATGTAAACTTAGACATGTTAAGGTTGATTCTCAAATAAAAAATCACTAGAAAGAAAATAGGTGGTGTCTATCTTTTAATGCCTAACAATTTAAGACACTTTATTGAAATGAATACTAATCCATTGTTTCCAGGGCCGGATTAAGAGTTTTGAGGCCCTGGGGCCGAATTTGGTGGGGGCCCTCAATATTTCCAAAAATTTTGACACTTGAGAAATTAAAACTCATGGTAAATTTTTAAGCTAGAGGAACTTTACGTGATTTTGTATTATCCTTGAATCATTTATTATTTAATAAACCATATAAATTTTAATAAAATCGGCCAAAGCGTTTTAAAGCTATAAATAAAAATGAAACACCCTGTATATTTTGAATAATACGAACATAACATTATATACATTTTACCCAAGTCTGAGAAATTATAAATTCCTATGCAAAACTATAAAAACGTAGATAGTAGAATAGAATTGTGAATGGAAGTGTTTTTATAATATAAGTATATTATACTTTATATTTTATATATTTTGAATAATACGAACATAACCTTATATATATTTTACTCAACTAAAATATAAATTGATCTATGTTTTGTTTTTATTTTTAATACTTACCGCAAACTGAAAAAAGTGCATCAAAAGTCGTATTATTTGTCTGTTTTCCATACAAAATCAAACAATAAAACAATCTTTTGTCCAAAGAAAAGCACGAAACAGTATTTCGGAAACACCGAAATATAATTATGATCTAATATTAAAGTTAGTTTTTGTCCCAGAATTTTATTGGTACATTGGAGTGTTGTGGAATATTTTATAAAGTCTATAGTCATAAGTGGAAAATATTCCACAACACTCCAATGTACCAATATAAATCTGGGACAAAAACTAACTTTAATATTAAATTATAAGTAATTGACTGTTTGCCTGTATTTACAAAAACGTTACGCCTTCGCGCGCCAAAACTTTTAGTGTGATAATTTACATTCTGAATTGCAAGCGGATAAGCGATAAAAAATCCGCGAAAAATAAGAGTTAGATCTACGAAAAATTAATTGAAAATTACAGGATTCGCGCGGTATAACCGACCCAATTTTTTGTTTTATCGACATTTTTTTTCATAATTGTTTCATTGAAAAGCTACATATTGCATTGGTAGGGGCCCCTAAATGGTGGGGGCCCTGGGGCCGTGGCTCCGCTGGCCCCATGCTAAATCTGGCCCTAATTGTTTCTAACAAAGATAACTATATTATAGCTGTTTAAAGTTGCATCAAAAAGTTTCAGAACAAGACAAAACCAGATTTTACTTGAGTTACATTAAATCATCTGATAGTTAATCAAAAAAATCAGATAACCGACGGCCAATTTTGGTATATAAAACTGAATAGGGTCATTGTGGTATGGCAAGTATTGCCACTATCCTTAGACTATTTAACATACAGGACACGGTTAATTTTATAGACGATTTCAGAAAAAAAATATATAATCATCGAAACTATTATTTTCGGGTTTATCCGACTTCCAAGTAACAGGAAACATGAGAAATAAAATCCTTTATGTATGGCATTCTATATAGTGGCCCAAAAATATGTCAAATTTTTTAAATTTTTTGTAAAAACTAAAAATTTTAAATTAAAAAAAAACTTTCTTTAAGGATAATAAAGCGTTTAATTTTAAGTAAAAAACGTCTTATAAAGTCTTCTGTAGACGCTATAGTTTTGTTATAAAAAATTTCTGAGTTTTTTTACTTCACAAAATAATACATATTAATCAAATTCAATTAACTTAATAGGTTTTAATGTCTAAATAAATACATGTAATTATATGTGCTGGCTATTATAATAACAAATACTCCTTAACAGTTTTTCTTTAAAAGATTGCAAATTCCTTGAATTTAAATTAAAATTTTTTGAAAACGTTAAAATAGTGATGCACTTGTTCTGACGCTTGTTCCGAAAAAAGGCAAGTGCTCGTTGATATTTTTCAATGAACTCTGGAACATGATGAACTAGGGCATGCATTTTTGTTGTGTACCGTACTCCGACTTTAGATAGTTCTACTGCAAAACGTTGAATATTTTCGGCATAACTTATACTTAGAGTTTGCCCAAAGCAACTGGAAACACTAACTTCTAGCCGGTGCCCCAACATCGATCCCGACTGGACAAAGAATTTATTATATATTATACAATGCATCATTATCATTTAAAATTGGCGGCACAACAATAATATAATAATAAATTGTACCTGTATACATGTTAAGGGCACGTTAGTTACGTAATAAAACCAAACCAACCCAAACTCAACAACACAACCCAACCGACCCCGCCCACGCCTTATACTGATTTCCCAGGGTTATTTTACCCCCTTTTAGTTCTCCAACGTATCCCGCCACTGCACAGCATTGCCTGTGTTTGGTGGATCCGAATTTTTACCCCGGCTGGTAAATCTCGCCTAGAAGGCCGTAAATGACAGTGTAGATGGTTAAGGCCTCTTAAAGAATTTTCTCGCCTAGTCCGCTAGTGGAGTGCGGAAAAGGAGGGAAAATATTTTGGTTTTTGAGGGACATTGAACTGACCCAAAACCAAGTACAATCCAGGTAATACTGAGACCATCCATCCTGGATTAAAGCAATGGCTCTGGAAACATCAGTCGGAGACATATCCATTTTTAAAAGTAAGAAAACACCTCAAAAGTAACACATTAATTTACAAAAAAATGTCCAAGTATGGGATGATTCAACAAAACAATCACTGTCATCCTCCATAGGCTATGGGTGGACCATAGCAACCTTAGTTCTTCGTACAAAAAAAATATTGGAAAATGCAATGTTTTTTTTAAAAATCTACATTTTCCACAAAAAAAAATATATCGGAGTGAACCAAAAACAAAACTGTTAAGAATAGACGTGACTTGATAATTAAAACTTAATTTAGAACAATATACGGTTTTGCCACTCTTTGTTTAAATCTGTATATTATAAACGTTCGTCTATTTTTAGTAATTTTTTAAAATGTAAGCGATTCTCCATTAATTTATCTAAAATATTGTTTAATATTCGTTTAAATCCGAAATCAAATAAAAAAGTTATTTGCGATTGAAATTCATCGAAAATTTGCGTGGATCGATTATTTTGCCTGTGAGTGTAAGTAAGATTTTTTTAGAACAAAACTATAGGATCTACAAAAAACTTTTTGAGACGCTTTTAACTTAAAATTAAACGCTCTATTATCCTCGAGATTATCCTTAAAAAAAGTTTTTTTAATTTAATATTTTTAGTGTTACTAACTTTTGACATATTTTTGGGCCACTATCTAAAATGCCCTACATGAAGGATTTTAATTTTCATGTTTCCTGTTACTTGGGAGTCGGACAAACCCAAAAACACAATTTTCGATGATTAAATATATTTTTTTCTGAAATCGTCTATAAAATTAACCGTGAGGAATTTCCGTGTTATTTTGTTCTTAAATGACAGCATTTACATTTTTGTATACAACTTAAAATAAATTCTTTAAATAGTTTATTTTAAATTCCAATTCTTAAGTTTAGGAAAGTAATAATATAAAGAACAGTAAACACATTTATAAAAGCTCCTTAATAATTCATTTACCATTTTTTATTTAAATAAATAAAATATAAAATTCATAAAATATTTTAATATTTCTAATTTATTTGTAGATACCCATGGGAAAAAATCGTTTTAAAAAAGACTATCGTCTGAAGAAGATCGTCTATTTTTAAAAGATATCGCTTAATTTTTTAAACGATCTTTTGTAAAAAAGACGATCGTCTGAAGAAGATCGTCTACTTTCAAACGAAATCGTTTAATTATTTAAACGATCGTCTTTAATCGTCTAAAATAATAGCTGACCCTAAAGACGATCGTTTAAAGTGATAAACGATACAAAAGGCGATCGTCTAAAATAATAGTCGAAAAAAGACGATCGTTTTAATTAAAATTTTAAGTTAACCGATGAAAAAATATTTTTATTTTGTCATAATTATTAATTAAATTAATTAAAAAAATAATTCTAAAGGCGATACCTACCTACTTCGAATAATAGACAATTCCAAATATTCCAAAGTATATTTGAAATTCTTTATTATAATAGAGAAGAATTTCAAATATATATTTCATCTGTACAGCCGACCGCCTAACCTACGCAACCGATTGAATCGTTTGAAAGTCGATCGTTTGAAAGACGATTGGACCAATTCGCGTCTAAAGACGATCGTCTTTAGACGATTTTTCCCCATGGGTAGTTACCCAGTAAATTTTTTATATTGGCAAACACACACACACACACACACACACACATATATATATATATATATATATATACTACTGCTACGTAAATTGCCAAAAACAGTGCATTCTTATACAGCCTGTATAATATAGGGTGTCCCAAAATCACCAGACGAATTCGCAAAATTAAAAGTCAAAATTCTATTATTTAAATTAGTCCCAGTATTTTTTACTGATAAAATAGTCGTTTTCACTTTTAAATAGTTATTTTTTATTACTTAAATAGTTTGACTAATTTAAGATAAGTCATCATTTATGACTATTTCTGAGAGTTAAAAGTAACTTATTTCTTTAGTCGTTTGCGGCTACAACAAATTATTGTGCTGTAGGCTCCATGGTTAAATGGCCCATGGCCCATATAGGCTCCATGGTTGAATGGCTCATGAAAACAAACAAAGATGTAAAAAGTTCAGCTCAAAACAGCAACACAAAAATAATATATAATAATATTATGTGACATGGCTAGAGTTGGGGATGGTCAATTGACCGCGGTCAATTGACCGCGGTCAATTGACCAGTCAATTGACTGTCAATTGACCGCTACCTATTTGACCGGTCAATTGACCGGTCAAAATATAT